TCATTAAAACATTATATTGACCATTTTATATTCTTCCAGCAGAGAGTGGAGGCAGTTTAGTTGTACTTGTAACCTCATAACACCCCAATTTTTACTCATTCCCCAAATCATCCTAGCACCATTGGTCCCAAGGACTTCTGACACACTCTTGGTCCTTCAATGAAAAATCAATGCTTTAAACAATTGGGTCTAGAGTAACCTATTTGCTTGGATTTGATGAGGTTGCTAAATGAATGTTACACCTTTCTCAGAAAGATAAAGGCTTCATGCTAATATTTCAACAGAATTATAGCATAACCTTTTGCTATAGTTCTAATACGTATTTGCTCGTATAACAGCAAGGTCTTTGGATGAAGATAATAGTAACAAAATTAGTAAAAATTGACTAAAAGTGATACTTTATTAAAGACTTTAAATTTGGGCATTTTTCATTATAGAACACAGTTTGTTTAAGATAACACTTGGTTAAATTATTGAATATCCTGCCACTCCTGACTGCATTACTTCAGAAAAAAGACCAATATATTTGTGAGGGGAATATAGGAAGGCAAGATGGCTAGAAGGGAGGGGAAACTAGTAGGATAAACTGAATATTTGTGTATTTAAAACACACATATATTTGCATTTTAAGTAAATACCAATTTCCTTGGTATAATAATATATTTCAAATTAAGTGATATTAATTAGCTCAAGTATGATAGCTAAGTAAAAAAAAGTCACTTAAAATGACAGATCTAAAATTGAACCTACTAGGTACAAGATAGTATATATGTTTTCATCTGTATGTTTTAAAAAGAATATATATATACATACACATATGCTTTTATATGCAGAGTAACTCTAGAAGGATACACAGAAATTGATAACATTGGTTGCTACTTTTTACCCTCTACCCATCTGTACTGTTTCCATTTTGTACTATACGTATGTTTTTCCCTATTCAAAAATATTGATTAAAATCTCATTACCAAAATAAATTTAAATGATTTAAAATAGCATGTCAAATTAATAACAACTACTGATTTTTTTCCATTATACATGAAAATATATACTTATACATATATTATTTTTCTAAGCTCTACCTACTAAATTTGGGTATATTTTCTTTATGACAGAGTTACTGTGATCTGAAAACCCAATTTTCACATGACATTAAGTTGGGAAAAACACATTCTCCCTGAACGTCATTGCTACAGTATGGTGGACTATTGGTTGTCTCAACAGCATGTTAACATACTTATTCTCTTTCTCTGATGGGCTAGCCATTAGCCACCATTTCTCTCAGAAATTCAATAAATCTTTAAGGAAATTTGAGAAAGATTTTAAGACCCTTTTCAGGCAGTGATAAGTATTATACCTGTATTATTCTGTAGGCATAGAATCAATGTTAACTTCTCTTTGTATGTTGTCAAAGATGTTTGGTGTTTTAGTAAAGATAGACTTCAAACTAAGTGGTGACTAAGCAAAGCCCTTACATAAAGCTTTAAATAGGATTTTATAAATAGTTCCAATGAAAAACATTTGGAGGTAAGCAGGAAAAAAAAAAAGCTCACACTTAGGAAAATTATTTTCAGAAAACCACTTAAAATTCAAATTAAGTCCTATCATTTAAATATTAAAATATACCATAAACCCAAATTTAAAGGAATGATAATACATACATCAGCTTTCAATGGTAGCTGCTTATTAAAAATGAGCATCTGAGGGTATATTCCAATTTCATCCTCTTCAAATTGTGCAGGTCAAATAAATGTTTATTTTAAGGAAAATATTTGCAAAATTACAATATAAATACATTATTATATTAAGATAGGAGGACTATATAATGTATTCTTATCTATAGATATAAAATTAATGCAGTAAATATAGCACACTTTTCATGAATTGTTAGTACACAGTGTTTCTCAGTAAAGTATTATTAAGCAACAGTTATCTAGTTTTCACATGTACATCTTAGGAAGTTTTTAAGATGGAAGGATACACTAAATCCCCCAATACCCTTTTTAGTTGGTGAAGGTTAGTACTTCCGTGAATTTTGAGATATTGTATTTGTGTTAGTGACTCTTCTTAGGTTCCTTGCATTTCCTTAACTTGAAACTTTATTTCTTTAGTCTGAGTGTTCTTTAAATAATGCCATATCGGCTAACCACACTTTTAAATCGAGTGTAATATTATGTACTGCATTTTTGTTCATTACTTAAACACATATCAACAAGGAAACAATGACTGAAAATAATTTTTTAATGGACAAACTCCCCAAATTAACTTTTAGGGCATTATGGGGAATCTCTACTAAATATAGTCTCAACTGTAATACAAATTTGGGTTGGAAATAGTATTTTATTTATTATAGTTCTTAAGACATCAAATGTGAACTCTACTTTAAAATTCTTTGTTAAATATACTGGGATTTGTTTCAAAAGCATCTTCTACTCTTCTCCATTACACTGATTTAATGGAAACCTGTTACTACAACAGTTCCAACACAAACATATGCATGCAAGAGATCACCCTATAGATTCTAACTACATAGTTATTGAAACACATCCCACCTGTCAAGTGGCATAAATGTACATCTTCTATATACAAAAGGTAAAGTGCATTATTAAATTAGTGAACTGACAGATTGTCTGCCTGGACCATATAGCTTTCAAATAGACAAATGTGAAATTCTCCTATTAGAACCAATTATTTCAAGAGGTTCCAACTAGCTTTTCCACCCTGTCATTTATTTTTTTGGCCATGCTCTTTAGTGCAAATAAGCTTGTGTTTGACTCAAGTTTCAGGGACATGGCAGTTTGGGGCTTTAACAAGGAAAATTATAAAATGTAGCAGAACTTTAATATCTTTATAATACATTGCATCTTTTGCATATAAGCAACAGATTAGTGCTGCTTTCAGTTGCTAGGAGCACACTGCCAACTATCAAGAGGAACCCGTTTCCAAATTTTATACTATTAGCTTATATGACTACAGTTTTGAGCCTGTACCACATTATGCTAGGATTATTATGTGCAAACATCATCAGTGTTTTAGAATTATACAGTGAACTAGTACTTTTGGTTACTAACTTTCATGCTCATTTTTTAACTTCTAGCTTCCAGTTGCCTTAAGAATTTAATGTCTTCAAGGCAGGGATTCTGTTACTTTGAAGGATGCCATGTACACTTGCAGCTCCATGTATGTTATAAATGACAATAAATAAAATGCATACTACACAGATAAGAATAGTAGCTTATTTTATAAGATACATGGCAATACATGTCCTAAGACCAGAGTTTTGAACTGGATCATATTTAATTATGGCTAATGAGTTCTTGGGAATTTTAAGTATAAAAAATTATAGCATCTCATTTTTCAATGATTATGAAAAAATGAAACAAAAGGACTGGCAGAGGCTTAATAATTTTAGAGTATATTCAATTGCCAGTATATACGCATCTATTTAATCTGCAGCTTTGAGATGCTGAAAACTTTGAAGGATACATACAAGGTAGAAAATTTGGCTGCTTAACTCATTCTTAAATAATTAACGGAAAAGTAAATTTAATAATGTTTATATACAGTGAGTTAAAGATATTTATCTTTAAGTCTGACATGGTATTGAATGTATATATACATACATATATATGTATATGTGTATATACATATATACGTGTGTGTATATATATATGTATATATATATATATATAGACACATACTCAAATCTTATCAGACCCAAAAGGAAAGAGGAAATCATTTAGACCTAATGGATATAAATATTTTAGAAAGGAAGACTTTAAGAGAGAGTATACACTCATAGCAATAGCGATAGGAACAATCGAATACTAGAATATTCACAGCTCCAGTTTGCCAAAATCTGACAGGTTGATTATTATTAATAGGCACTATGATGGGCAGCAATAACAATCAGTAGTACAGTAATTCAAGTGCACATCACTCCTTCATAAACCAAAAACTACTTTTTTTAGCAAGCCTACATAGTTATTTTACAGTTAGGACTGTTTAAAAATCCTTGCTACTTTTAGAGACTCAACACCCACCATGTGCTATTAACTCTGGTACTAACATTATCTCCTAACCTTCAGTTGTTCCATAGTGATCCAGATGGTCCACAATTATAATGAACTAATGAGATTCCTTCACGCTACTAGAGGAAGTGTGAAATACAATCTGCAAACTAACACCGGTATATATGTCGGGGTTACTGATTGCTTGTTTTAAGTAACATAAACCAATGAAATTAATTTTCTTACTTCATACCACCAAGTTTTCTTAGTGACTTCACATAAATGTACTGGGGGACAAACCTCTGGAAGAAAAAAAACTGCTGATATAATTTTAAATTACATTTGGCATATAAAAGAAGAGCTACATTCTGATTTGAATCCCTGCAGCCAGCTCTCATCAATGAGAGTGATATTTGGGGGTTGAAATCAGTGTTCAGGCTCTTAAATATGATTAGATGGACTTATTGTGTGGGAGGTGACTAAAGCCAAGATAAAAGACAATAATTTCATTCAGAAGAAAATAATAGCTGAATAGATGAAATTTCAGTCAGTTAATACAGGATGGGTTGGTACACATACAACACTATATCCACTTGTTTAAAAAATTGCTTAGGTGTTGAAAACTTGCTGTGGCACTTCCTGGAAAGTAATTTTTAATACAGGTAAATGGGTGAGTCTTGTGTAAAGTCTGAAAGAGCACCTTGGAAAATGCCTGAATTTTCCTTTCAAATATATTTATAACCAATCTTCAAATAATATTTTTCTCAGATTGGTAATTTGTATTCTAAATTCTTTTTAGAAAAAAAAAATCCCCACCCCCTCTGGAATTAAAACACCTGTGAAATTCAGGTTTATATTGGAAGTGTTGACATGGTTTTAAGGGTCGCAACTGCAAAAGTGCTACTAAAATATATTATTACAGGTATATTTTTGCATCAGTTAATTGGTGCACCAACCCTTTTGAAATAGTGTTAAAGAAGAAGCATAAAGTATAACACCTTGAGTCCATGATATATTTTGGGGAAGAAACCGCTCACAATCTTCAAATTAGCATGAAAAGCTAAAACACCAAGATTTCCATAGCAAAGCCATTGGATGAAGCCTCCCACTCAATGTGACATAAAAGTAATTCCTGAAACTTGGAAAAGTCAATAAAAATACGTAAAACAGTAAGTAGAGGTAAAGAAGGGACTGTAACTAAACTTAGAATAACCAATTAAAACTCTCCCATGGCTTTGATATGGCAACTATAAAATGTAGGGTTACCACAAAGTTTGAAATTATAGAATCCTATAGTTACTCTTAAGAAATACTATGACACTGTATTTTTAAGGTTTAATTAGATAATAAGATTTGATCCTTTGATGGTATATTCAGTTATCCAATGGACGATATATGTCTACTTGTACTTTTATAAATAAATATATTTATATATACTTGAGATCAATTTCTGTTTCTGGGGTAACTGCCCTACAGATAAGCTTAGCAGCTTTTAATGAAGTAGGACTGAAATACTTTTTGGGGAATTTGTTAACTAGAAAGTCACACTTCCATTGAAGTATATGTATCTTTTTTCAGGATTATGTCATAGTGCAATGTAAATCTTAGTTATGGTATTTAGAATGTCACATTTTGTGCTGATTTGCATACTTCAATAGTCTGGAGCAGTTGAAGCAGCTAAACTATTTAGCTCTGGGAAGTTTGGAATTCCCGTAAGAATTATAGTGATATCTATGTGTAACATAACGTGAGAATCAGACTTCTTGAAGTATCAGCTACTAGAGGTATTACTAATAACAAAGGGCCAAAAAAAGAGGAAAAACTTCTTCAAATGATAATGGATCAGTACTTTTAGCCAATTTGTGATTTTAAATTTTGCCTGATGGAGTTCAATTTCACTCTAGTCGAGGCATTCTTGTTCTTCACCACTGGCCTTTCTGCCATCCATTCTCTTTTCTTTATGGCTGTTGCAAATTTTCCTCATCTCTTCTTCATACTTGATAAAATTCTCCCCAAACCTTGTCCAAGCTTTGAATGGAACAGTAATAGTATTACGGTAAGGTGGTCTCACCTCACTTACCTTCAGGAAAATTCCATATTTATTAGAGCCCACATCAAAGTAGAATCTTTTATTGTCCACTCTGAAAGAAGTCCCCTCTGGGAGTTCAAGTGGGTCATCGTCTCCACCTCTTCGTTCTTCTATGTCCCCTTCGCCATAGTCTTCAATCAGCTGAACCAAGGCATCACGAAACTCAATCATTCCTTGTGCTGGGAGGACAATAGTCTGTTCTTGGCCCAAACTGTGGCCAAAATAACCTATCATGCCAGTCCCCCGCATCATGGTTTGTCTAATCCGTAGGAAGCGACCCCGCTGATTTTCCTTTAGGTCTAGGTAATATTTCCTATTGTCCCTCTCGATATAGTCTGTTTTCAGGACACTATGAGGATGCTCTTCGGACCCCACCGAGATCGGTGGGGAGGGTGCCGAGTGCTTCTGTCTCCTCCTGGAGCCTTGCTCTTTGCTGTGGCCATGCTCTTGCCGGTGGCCTTTCAGGCCCAGGTGGGCATAGTGCTCGATGAAGTCCCCTAGACAGTCCTTCAGCTCCGCTGCCACAGACAGGGAGAGGGTCAGTTTACTCTTTCTGATGTTGTCCTGCCGGCCTCTACCTATCCAGACTTCGGCTATCTTTAGGAAGCGGCCCCGTGAGCTTTGCTTCACGTCTAGGTAAAACCTCTTTTTCTGGATGTCCACTCGTTTGGAGGCCAGCTCCTGGATTTCGGCTGCGCCCCCGGCCTGATTAGGGGTGGCTGAGGCCGCGTAGTGGGGGTAGTGGGAGTGCTGGGCCTGGGGATACAGTCTACTCTTGCTTAGGCCAGAGCCCCCTATATTCTTGCCTCCGCGGCCGCGGCCGCCGCCGCCTCCCCTTCGCCTGGCTCTTTCCATCTTCAGCTGCAAGTGACAAACAGACACACGGGGTGGGGTGGGGGAGGGGTGTTGAGAACAATCGCAGACGCCCCTCAGCCTGGCCACCCCCGCCGCTGCCCGGGACCCCTACGTCTGGCCCGGCTCCCCCGGCGCTGCAGCGCGGGGCTCCAGCCCCTGCCGGACGGTTGGCCGCGGCGGCTCCAGCTCTGCCCGCGCTTCCCGCATCCCTCCGCCGCCCGGGCCCGCACCCGCACGCCGCCGCCGCCCGCCCAGCGCTCCGCTGCCCCCGGTCCCCAGCCGGCGGGCACTCACATCATCTCTGCCTTCACCGCCGCCGCCGATGCCCTTCACGACCACCGCCGCCGCCGCCAGCTCTCGGCCCCTCTGCTGCAGCCGCCGCCCCCCGCCTCCTCCCCCGCCGCCGCCGCTCGCACTGCCCCCCGCCGGAGCAGCCGGGCAGGGGCATCGCCCGCGGCGCCCACCGCCGCCGCCCCTCCTGCGGCCGCTGCGGGGGCCGCCGCCTGGCTTCGGACACCGGCCCCACACCCGCCAGGAGGGGAGGGGAGGGGAGGCGGGGAGAGCGACGGCGGGGGGCGGGCGGTGGACCCCGCCTCCCCCGGCACAGCCTGCTGAGGGGAAGAAGAGGGTCTCCGCTCTTCTTCAGTGCGCACCCTGACGGAAGCCTGGCGCGTGGGGTGCAGCGGGAGTGCTAGGGGACTGGACAGAAATGAAGATGGGAACGAGGACAGGGTGGCGGGAGTGTTCTCACTTCTCCGGATTCCGCCGGGATGCGGGACTCTGGCGGCCCAGCGGCACCTGCAAGGAGACTACACTTCCCGAGGGGCTTAGCTGCAGCGTGGGCCTCTGCGCACGCGCACCGTGACGTGCTGGGCGGGGCTAGTTGGCCTGTGGTGGGAGGGCTGGAGCGCCGCGCTGAAGGCAAGCGGGGCCGGGGGCGGGGAAGGGGGTGGGGTCGGAGCGGGGGCGGGGAAGGGGGTGGGGTCGGAGCGGGGGCGGGGCCGGGCCGGAGCCGGAGGGGCGGGGCGGCCCCGGTCTCCCGGAGCTGATGTGTACTGTGTGCGCCGAGACGCGCAGGCTTGTACTCTGCAGCGCGGGAATAGACTGGTGAATTGCTGTCTAGCCTGGATACCTGGGTTGTAGGTCCTGTTTGTGGTGGAGCTCCACAGTCATCCGGCTGAAGGTGAAGACCTGTTGGACTGGCTTTTCTCAGGGTAACTTGTCTTCCTACTCTCGTTTTCCAGCTCCGTGCGTGGGGTATCTATCGTGCTAGGCTTCTGAGACGTGGAGGTGCTTAGGCCCGCGGAGCAGGCCCCTGGGTTGTGTTTGGGAGATTCCAGAAAAACAGACATTCTCCCTTTCCCTTCCCCCTCTGGAGCAGCCAGTAAGGGCGTCTCTCGGAGCTTCCACCATTCAAAAAGTGCTTCCCCGCCTTTCCCAGCCCCAGCCTGATGTTTACCCTGCGCGCTTAGGATTGCTCTCTTCCTATACGGCCTTTATTATGGGAGAAACTGAGCCACTCCATGTCTGCACAGCAAAGTCGAGGGAGATAACCTGCAGTCTATTATTTAGCAAGTGATGATGAATTTTTTTTGAGTTCAAATCAGTCACTTTTTTTCTTTTTTTTTTTTGGTTGAATCTCAGTTGTTTGGCTAGGTTTGATATGAAAAATACTACTCCCTGTTGAAGAAGGTAATATAATTCTTAGAATGCTAATATAGGGGTCTGTATGTCAGAGTACTTCAGGCTTGTATGGTTTGGTACATTTTTTTTCTAGGGGTGGGAGATTGGTGTAGGACAGTTCAGATCTTGATGTCATTGAATAGTGGTGTCGACCTAAGAGGAAGAGGCTGGGGCACGAAATTATAATTTAAACAGTTTACTTGAGCTAAAATGAGTACAGCTGCCCAGGACTCACTTCCCAGTTGCCTTGCGGAGTGCTCCTTCAGTCTTAGTTACAAGCAGGTTTTTAAAGGCGAAGGGACGGAGTGGGCTGAGACAAAGTTCGACAGGAATTGTTACTGGTTTACAGAGATACCATGGCTTAGTGATTGGCTGTACACTGTAACTTACAGGGTATGAGTTATCGTGTCCAGAATATGGCCTTTTATGGCTACTTGATATCAGTTTAGATCCCACATAGCAGGTGAACTTCAACAGATAATTATTCAGCTCAAGGAGGGAGTGAGATGGGACTGTCTTTTCATTCTAATGCCTCTCTGGGCCTGATAATTTAAAGGGCCCTGCATTCTTCAGATAAACATTTATTTTCTTCTATTTTTTTCCCACAGTGATCTCCCTTTATTAATCCAACAAATATATATTAAGGACTGCTCTAGGCACCAGAGATACCAACAATGAACAAAACAGACAAACCTTTCTCTGCTCTTGGAGGTTACATCTTAGGGGAAGGAGACAAGCAAAAAGTAACATGTACAGGATGACAGAAGGTGGAAATGGAGAATAAAAAGGAAAGAGGGATGAAAAATGGGTGTGTGTGGTGGGTGAGGGGCTATAGGGAGCTGCAGTTTTACAATAGGTGGTCTGGGGGGACTTCACTGAGAAGGAAATTTTTGAGTCTAGAGCTCAAGGAAGTGAGAAAACTTACCTTGAGGTTCTCTGGAGGAGAAGAAAGTACAAAGACCCTGGGGAACCTGTCTCCTTATATTCAGAGAGCAACTTAAGAGGCCTAGTGAGCTGGAGGAGAGCAGAAAGGAGGTCAGAGATCAGGCCAGAAAGGGAAGTGGGGCAGAATGTGTGGGACTTTATGGACTATTTTGAAAACTGAGGCTTTCATTCTGAGGAAGATAGGAAGCTGTTGGAGAGTTGTTAGGGAAACATGATCTGAATTATGTTTCTAAAAAATTGTGGTAAAATATAAAATTTGCCATCTTAACCATTTTTAAGTGTTCAATTTAGTGACATTAATTATAGTCATCATGCTGTGAAATCATCACTGCTATTTTTTTATTCTACCATTATCTTGATGTTGACACCACCACTCTTTCAAGACTTTTTAACAACTTCAAACAGAAACTGTAACTTTTAAGCAATAACTCTCCATTGCCTCATCCACCCAGTTCTTAGTGACTTCAAATGCACGTTCTTCCTCTATAAATTTGCCTATTCTAGATACTCTACGTAAGTGGAATCATAAAATATTTGTCTTTCTGTATGTGGCAAATTCCACTCAGCATTTTTTTTAAAACAGCGTAATTGAAATATAATTCATGTATCATACAATTCACCCATTTAAAAACCATACAGTGGTTTTTAGTTTGTCTTCAGAGTTCTACAGCCTTTATCACAATCACCTTTAGGACTTTTTCATCACCCAACAAAGAAACGCCATAACCATTAGTACTCAACCACACCCTCTTTCCCAGGCAATCACTTACCCTTTTTTTGTCTCTATATAGCTATCAAACCCGATAACATTCCTTCTATCTAACTGTATTTTTGTACTCATTAACAACATCTTTTCATTCCTACCACCTATCCATCCCAGCTTTTGCTTTTGAGATCATATCCAAAAAATCATTGCCCAGACCAGTGGTCCCCAACCTTTTTGGCACCAAGTACAGGTATCGTTGAAGACAATTTTTCCATCCACAGGAGGGAGGGGATGGTTTCAGGTTGATTCAAGCTCATTACATTTATTGTGCACTTTATATTATTATTAGCTCATTACATTTATTGTGCACTTTATATTATTACATTATAATATGTAATAGAATAATTATACAGTTCACCATAATTTAGAATCAGTGGGAGCCCTGAGCTTGTTTCCTGAAACTTGAGGGTCCTACCTGGGAATGATGGAAGACAGTGACAGATCATAAGGCATTAGATTCTCCTAAGGAGCATGCAGCCTACATCCCTTTTTTTTTTTTTTTTTTTTTTTTAAATAAAGATGGGGTTTCACCATATTGGTCAGGCTGGTCTCGAACTCCTGACCTCAGGTGATCTGCCCACCTCAGCCTCCCAAAGTGCTAGGATTACAGGCATGAGCCACCACGCGCGGCGCCTCCGTGCCCGACGCCTACATCCCTTTCATGTGCAATTCACAATAGGGTTTGTGCTTCTATGAGAGTCTAATGCTTGCTTGCCTGATGCTCACCTCCTGCTGTGTGACCTGGTTCCTAGCAGGCCATGGACTGGTACTCATCTGTGGCTCAGGGGTTGGGAACCTCTAGCCCAGACCAATGTTAGCGAGCTTTTCCCCCATGTTTTCTTCAAGTGATTTCATGGTTTTGGGTCTTACGTTTAAGTCTTTAATCCATTTTTGAGTTGATTTTGTAGGTAGTGAGAGATAACTGACTACTTTCATTCTTCTGCGTGTGGTTATCCCGTTTTCCCGACACCATTTATTGAAGAGTCTGACCTTTCCCCATTGTGTATTCCTGGCTTTTTTGTCAAAAATCAGTTGACTATAAATGCATGGTTTTATTTCTTGGCTCTCTATTCTGTTCTATTACCTGTATGTCTCTTTTTATGCCAGTGCTGTGCTGTTTTGATTACCAGAGTTTAGTATATTTTGAAGTTAGGCAATCTAGCTTTGTTCTTTTAGCTCAAGATCACTTTGGGTATTCAGCATCTTTTGTGAGGAGAATGTTTTCAAGTTTCACTCATGTTGTGATGTGTATCATAACTCGATTTCTTTTTATGGCTGAATAATATTCCACTGTTTATCATATTTATTTATTCATATGTTGATGGATACTTAGGTTGTTTCCACCTTTTGTCTATTGTGTATAATGCTGCTATTAACATTGGCATACAAGAATCTGTTTGAGTCCCTGTTTTCAGTTCCCTTGGAAATATACCTATGAGTGGACATACGGTAAGCTTTTGGCTTAGCTTTTTAAGGAACTACTAAAACTATCTTTCCATGGGAGCAGTGTACAAGTGTTCTAGTTCTCCATATGCTCACCAAAACTTAATTTTCTTTTTAAAAAAGTGTAGCTATTCTAGTAGGTGGTGGGAAGTGATATCTTAGTGTGGTTTTGTTTTGTATTTCTTTAATGACAAATGATGTTAAGCATCTTTTCATGTGCTTATTGGCCATTGTATATCTTCTTTGGGGAACTGTCTATTAAGTCCTTTGCCCATTTTTTAATTGAGTTTTTTTTTCTGTTGCAGACGATCTTTATATATTCTGAATATTAAACCTTTATTGGATATATGATTTGCAAATAATTTCTCCCATTCTATGGGTTTTCTCCACTCTTGATATTGGTCTTTGATTCACAAAGGTTTTAAATTTTTATAGAGTGCAGTCTATCCATTTTTTCTTTTGTTGCCTATGCTTTTGGTGTCACATCTAAGAATTTGTTCCCAAATCCAAGGCCATGAAAAATTTCTGCTATGTTTTCTTTTAACAGTTTTATAGTTTTAGTTTTTCTGTTGGAGTTTTGAGTTAATTCTTATATATTATTTTGATACATTTTGAGGTTTTTTTTTTTTGCTATATGGTGTGAGGTAGGGATCCAGCTTCACTATTTTGCATGTGGATATCCAGTTGTCCCATCATCATCTGTTGAAAAGTTTGTTCT